ATGGACGTGACAATGGGAGTGGAGGGGCCAGAACAGGGAAGGCACAAGTCAAGGTGAGGTTTTTTGTGTGTCCTTGTGTGAGTAGAATATTTCAGTCACTAACCAAGGTGATATGTCATTGACCAGGGTGTCCTGAACAGGCTAGGGAGGCAAGCAATATATACCTTCATGTAATTTATTTTTTTTGAAGAAGAAGCATTTTCTTTTTGCTCTTTTATGTGTCATAGGACAACAGCGTGACAGTGGGTCTTGGATCTACGTGTACCCCTTAATAGTAGGCTAGGCCCACCTATGGCATGTGTGCTAGCTTAAGCTGCATTGTTCTTCCATTTTTTCCCTACATTGCAGCCACACAATAGCCAACGGGACCCTATTAAACTATAAGATAGGTCGTTGCAGTCCTTGGTTAAAATTCTCCAGTGAATTTCCCCAGTGAATTCCCATTTCATGAAAAAGCCAATCTTACAATGACCTACAGGTTAGTTACTCAATTCCAACCCCCAGCCTCCTTGCATGTCCTCAAACAAATTAAGATCTCCTGCCTCAGGGCCTTTGCACTTGCTGCGTCCTTCCTCCAGCTCTCTTCAGAAATGTCTCTTTATCAGAGAAGCCCTCCCTGACCACTCTATACAGACATCTGGTGCTCCCTTCTCCCCTTACCTCACCTTACTTTTCTCCCTGGTCCTTGTCACCACTTGACACACTGCATAAATATTTACTTGTTTATTTTGTCTCTCCTCCATGACACTAAATTCAGAGAGGTCAGGGACTCCATTTTGTTTACCCCCAGTGCAAATAACAGTGCCTGGCACAATAAATACTTGTTTGAATGAATGAGTGGACCAATATCCAAGAGGAGTAGATGAGACCACAAAAGATGACTGAGAGAGACCTTTCACAGACTTGGTGAGTGCAAGCTAGGTCAGAGCTGGGTTTGATTTAGAAGAGAAAAGACACGTATTTCTTGTACTTTAAGGATGTGGAGCCATTTGTCTTTAGTGCGGGTCCCTGCCTGTGCATGTCCAGCTACGCAGTAGTGTTCAGCATACAAACGATAATGCCGCGTTCCAGGGGCGATACAGCAATGAAGGAGAAATTCCACGCAGACATTCTCCAGTGGTTATTAATAGCAATTGGACATAAAAGCAAGCGGCGAAAGAGTGTCAGAGTTGGAAAGATCCTTAGGTCACACAACAAACTTGTAGCAGGGTCAGGATTCCCAGGCCAGGCTTTTCTCACCCCACCTCAAATGAGACGTCGTGCTGCTCCTCTCTCATTTTATGTCATTCCATTGGGTTAGATCTCTGGATTCCCAAACTACCACTTTTTCTACAACAAACTCCAAGCAGAGGATTATTATTCCACTGCAGAATCAGCTAGATGCGCCTCAGCAGGCTGGACTATCATCACTGAGTTTCACTATATTTGTGTATACGTTGATAATTATAATGGGAGGTAATTGAGACAGGATCCAAATTAGGCTCGCTTGTGTATTTAAACACACAACTCAACGTGATGTTGCCACCCAATGTTGGATCATTTCAGCACTGATTATTTGATTTGTTAATTAGAATCATAGCATTTTAGAGCTGGCAGTGATCTTAGTTTTTTAAAGCTACAGTCGATCTGGAAGCCAAAAGGATATTTAAAAATGTGCCACTTTTGTTGAACACCTGTGGGACCTGAATCATCTCTAAGGAGTAACTTTCTGGTCTCCAAAATATAATTTGAAAGTCATCGATGTAGTTCAGTGGGCCCCTTGCCAAGATGGAAAATCAAGCCAGTCAAGAAATAGAATTGGGGTTAGGGCATGTGTTTCCTGCCTCCAGATCTGCCACACATCAGAATCGTTTTTGTTTTTTTTTTTTTTGAGACAATGTCTCCCTCTGTTGCCTGGGCAAGTACTGTGGTGTCAGCCTAGCTCACAGCAACCTCAAACTCCTGGGCTCAAGTGGTCCTCCTGCCTCAGCCTCCCGAGTAGCTGGGACTATAGGTGCATGCCACCGCACATGGCTAATTTTTTCTATTTTTAGTAGAGACGGGATATCGTTTTTGCTCAGGGTAATTTCTAACTCCTGACCTCAAGCGATTCTCCCACCTCAGCCTACCAAAGTGCTAGGATTACAGGTGTGAGCCACTATGCCTGGCCCACACCTCAGAATCTTATTCCATCTCTCTCATTGTGTTGTTTTAGCTCCTTCACCAAAGGGTGAACAGAAAAACATTCAAACCCCTTTCCTTTCCTACCTGGTCAGCAGCAGCTGAGTACAAAGATTTGACAGAAAAGATGCAGAAATTCTTGACTCAAGTAAGGGTTTTGGATGACCATGGATGCATTTGTTCTCCCTGTTCCGTGTGATTCTAGGCAATCTCTAGTTCCCAGCCCTCCCCTCTCCAGCCTTATTCCTTCCTTCAAACAAGTTTTTCATATACACTTGCTTTAAATAGGCTAAGACATGAAGATCTGGAGTTAAACACAAATCAAAGTCTTTCAATGTAGTATTCCAAGAAAGCTTATGTATATATATATATGTATATATATATACATATATATATGTAGCATGTAGCATAAAAGCATATATATAGCAAGCAAGCTCAACCGAATTAATTGTGTTGTATTTGGAAAGACAATGCACTAAATGGAGATGGTCTATGTCGCCTCAGTACAGAGGACATCGGAGAAACCAAGGGGTGCCTGAGCTTGAACACAGGGCCCAGGTCTAGCCTAGAGCCAGACATATCCCCTGCGAGTGTAACGGCACCAGCCACTCAGGCAGCTCTAGTATTGCCCCTTGCTTAGGGGTCATGAGCCGAAGTTAAATTTCTGACAGTAATTTGGCTTTCCAAATATGTGGGTCATTTAAATTCTCATTGTAAGTAAATGTGAGAGGCCACTGTGGGTTCGACACCAGCCTGTCAGGAGAAGGCAGTGGGAGGCCATTCTAAGGTGACTGCTCTCTTGTACGCATGTGTCTTCTGAGGACAGGTGTGGTGCTGGATCGGGGAAGTACTATTTGAAAAACGTTTTGGAGAAGTACAGACTTGTTTATGGTTGGTTCCACAGCAGGACACAGGCAAGCCCAGAACCCACAAGCTACTGCCTTTCAAGCTGAAAGCTTTCCGGTCCATAAATCCAGCAGGTTACTGTTACCTCTCGTGGTTTGGGTTCACAGTGGAGGCGACACCACACAGAGACACCAACATGTGTACACATTTTATTTACAATAGAGTTTCAAAATTATTTCTTGGTGAAGAATATGCCATTTTCATCATCCTTCTTGCTTGCCTTGACAAGAATGCCATGTCCTAACAGACCCAGGTCAAGGGCTGGTAACAACCTCGCTGGTACCCAATTAGTCATCTTCTTTGGGTTTGCCACAGAGTAAACCAGGGAGTTTCCTGGTCACGTGTCTACTTGGGAGGGAACCAGGCAGGCTTGGTAGACAGCTTCAAACCAACCCAGTGACCACAGGGAGAGCATATGGTAGCTGAGAAGGGGAGATTCACAAAACATTACAAAAGATCAAGAACAGAGCAATTATCCTTCTCGAGAACTGGGGGCAGGAAAAAGATGGAAGAAAAGAGCATGCTCCTTTCCATGTAGTAACCTGGGCCCACGGGACTGAGCTGGCCTTTCTATCCCACTGGGCCAATGTCTTAGGATATAGTGGTCTCTGCCACAGTGATGCTTCAGAGGTTCATTCCTCACCATTCCTGACTACACACTGGGGTTAGGAGGTGTGGATCCTTAAGATTCTGTTTGGCCTAGCAGAGAGGCACAGAATTAGGGCCCAGAAAAGAAATGGTGGAGGTAAGAGAGGAAAGATGGGGTCAGGCTTTAGAAAGGACTCTACAGGTATGTGTATGTGATGCAGGCTTTTTAGCAAGGGTATTTAGGAGGGAACTTATAACGGAAGAAAGACTTTAGTTCTGTTTTGTGACTATTTTATGACTCCTGTTATTAAATAAGCCCCAGCCCCTGTTTTTAAATTTGTTTTTATTTTTGTTAGTTTATTATTTATTTCCCAGTCCCTATTCGATTTTATTTTTTTGAAACAAGGTCTCACTATGTTGCCCAGGCGGGAGTGCTGTGGCTGTTCACAGGCATGATCATAGTGCTCTATTGCCTCAAACTCCTGGACTCAAGGGATCCTCCCACCTCGGCTTCCCCAGTAGCTGGGACTACAGGTGCACACCACCCAGCCCAGCCCTTATTTTAAGTGGGTCGTGTGTTCCTGTGTCTGAGCATGAGCAACCTGGGACAGGCAAGAAAAGTGGAGATAAGACCTCAGATCACAGAGGTCTTTCTTGACCAAGGCTGCTTACTCCTTCAGAAGCAGCCTGTTCAAACGGCCAGGAGAGTCTGGGCTGTCCTTCAACATCGTACTTTTCCTACAGGAACTTGGGAGAGTGGACAAGGTCCCTTCCTCCCTGTGATGTTTTAAAAGAGAAGAGGGGACTTGATGGTGCACCTGCATGAGACCTGTAGGAGGAAGGGGGTGTCTGAGACATGAAAGCTTGGAATAGGAAGCCGTTTTGACCCGAAACTGGGGCCTAGTATCAGTCATGTGAGGGAGTCAGTGAATGGAACAATTAAAAAACAGCTACAGGGAGGGGAGGGAGATAGTGCAGAACCCCAGAGGGAAAAGCAGGTAATATAAGGGGAATTAATTTTCCCAAAAAGCATTTCATTAAAAAAAATACAAACAAAAAAAGAAAGGACTGCCAAGACTGCCTGTTTCTTATCCTCCCCAAAGCTCCAGGTCCTGAACTGTGGATTCGGACCCGGGTGGGCAGAGCAAAGCTTGTGACTACAAGGGGATGAAACTGGCACCCGGGGCGGCGAGTCGGAGGGAAGCACGGCAGGGCGCAGGGACGAGCTGCCTTCTGTGCTCGCTCAGGCAAGTTCTTGACGTGGCTGTGGTGTTTCCCTTCAATTTCAACAGACGACCCACGGCATTACCCGCAAGTGGAGACGCATTGAGGACAGCACAGACATGAGTGGGCGTGGGTTTTTATTCTCAGTGCACGGCAGTATTGGTTTCTGCTCATTAGCAAAAAGCTTTATTGGTTCCAAAAAATTATCCTTTTTAAAACTCCTCTTCTGTTCTTCCTGTCTCAGTGTAACAACACATTTGAATTTCAGATTTGCCAGTTTATACCATTTTTTCCCTAAGAACCATATAAATACATGCAAAACATTGTACATAGAGCTTAAATAATATCAGAATGCAAATACAGATCTGGGTGCACTGTTAAGCTGAATTGCAAATTATGGCAACACACACTGGGGTACACATTGCTTCGATATCACCATTTGTTTGTTTATGTCATGCAGACCACAATAGTCAATCTTTTGTTTTGTTTGTTTTTTCTTTTTGTACAAAAATACCAGTGCTTGTTATACTAGTTACTGAAAAGAAGAAACTCAAAAGTCCTATCTGCATGCTGATTTGAAAAGAACAACGTAGATAGATTCGTTGGCACATATATATGGCATATTCACATATGGCATATATACATACGGGGAGAAAACACGAGCCAAAGGCCAATTCCATCACGGGGAGCTAATCTTCCTCCGTCTCTCCTAATCAAGAGGAAAGGGAACAGCAGGCCGAACAGCAGGGTAGGGAAGGCAAAAGGACTGGCACTGAGCTAAGTGGAAGGGAGTCTGGTCTATTCTGAGGAATAGGCCGGAATGGCTTAAGAATAGCAAGCATTTCAAGCGCCCGCCCTCACCAGGCAGTGAGGCGGTCCCTAGATATGAAAGGTGAGGGAGAGTGCATATTGTGAAGGTACCACGGGCTGCTTCGGTTGTAAGGCCAGGGACGCAGGAAAGAAAGCAAGGGATGCACTTAGAGGTTTTCGGCACATGCGAGTTTGCCACGCCCCTCCGGGTTTTCGGCAGTGAGGTAATCGCTTAGATTTAACTGTGCAAACTCTCCCCTCTGAAGCTCAAGGGAAAGAAGAAACTCAAACCCTAAGGAATCCACAAGTGTCCAGAGGGGTGTCTAGGTGATCTCTCTCTTAATACCTTTAGGGATAGGAGAGTCATTTCAGAGGACAGAAGACACCCATGGGAAGGACCTGGCCCCAAGACAGTCACCCAGGCCTAGAACCAGCCATTGTTTTTTCCATTTAGAGTTCTGTCCCTTATGTAATATATTGCACAAAATCTTTCTAGTGGAGAGAAGGAGTCGCAAATCACATCCTTGCAAGAAAACCTCACTAATGGAAAATTCCAGGAGGAACAGGAAGTGAAAACCATAAAAAGGCAAACTCCAATTTAGAGTATCCTTACAGACCAGGAGATATTAATGTCTTTGGTACCACTCTGCCAGCTATTCTTCAAGAAACACAAATCCAACCGAGGCCCCTGATCCTGATCACTAGTTACAGAAGAGCCTGGCAATCCATCTCCGTGTCGGGGGCGGGGCGCAGGGGTGCACGTTCATTTCCTGACAGCTGTGTCCTTTCTTGCTGGGTGTTTTCCTTACTATCCGCAATTTACTATCCGTTTTCCTAGGTTTATCAAGAGAGGAATCTAGGATGATATGTTCTTCTCCCCATCAGACCCTTTTCAAATCCAAAGCACCATTTTGGGGAAAAGCATTATTAACTTATGCCATATTTACTCACTGCCAGTTGGATCACTGAAACTGAATAGAAAAAACTTATATAAAAAACATATGCACGTAAACACTTAAACTTACTCAATTCCATGTCAACAAAATTTATATTAAAAAAGTCTAGAACCCAATAATTTTTTTTTTCCCTAAGTATAAAGATGGCTGTTTGGAGAAAGGAAGTATGGTGTATTGGTTTGAAAACCAATTACAAATATGCTAAGTCACCTGTCATGTCACACGGCTGGTTATGTGCTCCCTTCCACAGGGTTACATGACGGCACTTTATTTTAAATCCTTTAAACAAAATACATATGGCTGACTCGAAAATATCAGTTTCTGATCTAAAGAAAACTATATATTTTTGCATATATTTCTATATTTTCCCTCCTACTATGGAAACTAGAACACACACAAAAAAAACTGTTCACTTTAAAAAAGTACATACAAGCCCTCAAGAGCAACCTGTCAGGCACCGTGAGAGTCTTTTGGGAACAGGAATGGTAAAATAGCCTTCAAAGCTTGTTATTGGCTTGCCTTTTAAAATGATCTGAGGTAATAAAAGATTTGATAGAATTAAATCTTCCTATGTAGTTAGTTAATGAATATATATGTGAACACCTAATGCCTTGGTGAGCTAATTCCCCCCGCCCCTCCCGTGAGTATCTAAGACAGAGAAAAAACTGCTTTACAAAACCCAAATCAAATCTGTTTTCCTATTTCCTACAATGGTGGATTGTGCAGTAATGGGGATGTGTCGGGGGCGTTGGTTCTTTGCAGTCCTGCCTCGGACCGCTCAGGTGACGGGACTGAGGGCGGAGGGATCCATCAGAAAAGGCTGCGTGGATCAGGCCACCGTCCTCACACGTGGAGATCTGGCAGTTCATAGAAGCCTCAAGCCCCCTCTCCTGACTCCCGTCGCTCTAGAAGGAGGATGCGGGCTTCACTTGCTTCGCAGGCTATGGGAGTCGGGGCCACGAGTTAGCCCCTGCACGGAAGAACCTAAGTCGACATCCGCAGGGATAAAATGGAGCTCTTGCAAATGGGGCTCCACCTCGTCCCAGTAAGGAACACTTAAAAAAATCTCCTAGCGAAGTCCCCAACTCCTGAGAGGCAGAGGGGAAGGGGATGCTTTGGGCAGTGTCGGGGAAAAAGGCACAGGGCTTTAGTGGGCGGCAGCTGGAGCACGTGGCTAAAGAGGGGCTTGCATGGGAGGAAGGGGGGCTTTTCAGTAAGGTATTTTGCTCCTTTAAGTCAGCAAAATGTCACTGGGGCCTCCCACTTTGGATGCATATTTTCAAAACCAGAATATGTGAGAAAGGCTGGGACCTTCTCAGAGACTGGATAAGTTGTGGGACGTAGCAAAGAGGAGAACTAGAAACTAAAGAGCATATTGAAGCTGGTACCCAGGCACCTAAGCTCAAGGTTCCTGGTCCCTGCAGGAAGGTTTTCTCAGATCACACCAGAATGGCTCTTTGGCCTCTCCCAAGGCTTCTCAGCACTCATTCCCCGAACAATCGTGTTCTGCCCTGGAAGAGCCGTGGCAGATGGCTTTGAAAGCAGTGGTTACCCCAAGGAGGACGCATAACAGTCTGCTTTGACGGTCTATCTTGTCCTAGACCTGCCATTCTTCTGGTCCTCAATATCCAAGTCCAGCAAGGGGGCAGGGTCGCACCCAACTCATTCTTTTGCCACGACTTTAGGAATAGGAGAAAGCTCGAGCCTGTGGTGAAAACTATACGCCAAGCATGTGTGACCTTCATGGGCAAGGCTGATCTCCCTGGCACTTAACAACACACACGCCTGATAAGATGGCAGTTTAAAAGCAGAAGGTAACCCGGCAATAACAGGGAAACGTTCTTACCAGCTCTTAATTGCTTCAAAAGGACCCTTTTAGCAAAGAAACCTGTCTGATTCTAGAACTAAATCAAGGGTTCTTTGAGGGCCAAAAGGGAGAATGGTCAAATTTACTCAATTCACCCATGTCCTTTCCATTTTCTTAATCGTCAAAACATTAAAAAAAAAAGCGAAGGAAAGGAAGACAAGGATCACAAAAGACCAAAAGAACCTCAGAGAGGTTTGACTGGAAGGGCAGAAAGAGCCAGAGGCCTTTAGGTGTAAGTGTTCAAAATGGGAAAAATTGTCATACAGACAATCACACTACTGGATGATTTTGTACAATCCATCCCTACTTCGGCCCATTTCATTTGGGGATATTCGTCTCTCTCTGAACCCTCAATTTAGCTTATAAACAGCACAGACTAATAGGATAAAATCCAGAAGTCAGGATATGGTGACGCGTGTCTGAACACAGGGGGAGAATTTAGGCTGGGGTGATGTCAATAGGATTGTTGTCATTTCTTTAAAAATAACAGCTGCTACACCCATGAAGCAGACTCTACCATTACCTGCCTGGGGTTTGACTGGGTCCTGCTACAAACCCCAACTCAAGCTTAACTTGAAATCCTTGTAGGTCTGTGCTCTTGCCTCTTCATGGTCAGGTGGGGGTTCACACACACTTGGGAGCAGCTGACATGACAATGAAAAGAAATAGAGAAAGCAAGGATGGGAGTCAGAGAATGACAATTCACACTGATGTCTCCAGGCTGTGTGGAGGGCTGTCTGAGTGGGAGGCAACGATTTGCACTTGATTGCAATCCACCGCATTGTTGTTTCTGTTGGCATTTACAGGGACCTCACCATCCAACAGGAACACGCTAGTCCCAGATGTAGAAACTGCGTCAAGATCTTTCTCCTCTTGCTCATCCAGGAGTGGTGTTCGTGGCAACTCCTCATCTATGGCGAATTCAGGGTGGACCATGAAGTTGTGGATGGAGATTTGGCTCTTGGGTTTCTGAATGCTTTCATGGAGGGAACTATGGAATGCTTTGACCACTTTGATCTATACCAGGGGAAGGAAAAGGAGGATGAGAAAATAGGGAGGTGAGAATTGGCCAGCAGAACAAGGAACTGGTGGTTTGAGGAGAGAAACAAAACCCAAACTACAAAATATGACTGCTCAACAACCCAAACCAAACACGTAAGAAGAGATCATGGGGCACTAGAGACATCCATGGCTCAAATTTCAAGCATTGGGGTAGGGTGGGGTGAGTGATGATGGCAAACAACTAGGATGCTTCAAAACCCAAAGCAAAGTTAGCATTCCCAAACAATCCACTCTTAAACGAAACAGAAGACAAGAAATTTCATTAGTTCTTTTAGATGGAGGGCAAGGACATTGGAACTAGGACATTGAGCAAATTAATAGCCAAACTTAAAAAATGTTTCCGACACGTGAATTTCTGCGTTGAGGCCAAACATTTCGTGAATGTGGAGTGGAAAAATTATACATTGAAGTTCAGTTATCTGTTTAAAGCCCCCAGAGGGCCAGCACATACCAATCTGCACTCAATACACATTGGTGACATGTGACCATGAACACGGTGCAGGCAGGCAGACAAACCAGTCTTCATTTGTGTCAGCAGCATGCAGGGAAGTAAACTCTCCAACTTAACAACATGCCCCTTCAGTCAGGAGACATGCATGGGTTTACATCCCACACCTCCACTGTGCTCCCTCCCCAGAAAGAACGCAGAACTCCTCTCCTTCAGTCCCTCTCCTAGAAGATGTGGATAAAATACAGATGTCGAAAGATGCCTTCCTCCTGCCTACCAAGAGAAGACCTGGTTCTCATCACTCAAACGCATGTTCACGTCTCTGATACATAGCAACTGTGCCCAGTCATGCCACTTTCTCCAGCTGTTTCCAAATTGTGAAGAGGAGCGTGATCTCGTGTGGAGAAGGGAAAGGAAGGGACCAAGGAGAGAAACCCAATTCAGGAGGCAGTGCCACAAACAGGTGGCCTTTCTGATGGGGTGGATGAGGAGGATGGAGGAAAGGAAACCGTCTGCAGTCTTACTGGGCAAAGGGAAATGCATTGCACTGTGTCAAAGTCTTTGTTTTACTGCACATAAAGGAAGGGATGCAGTCAACTCGGGGTCAAGAGGAAAAAAACTGATAATAATTGATCCCCGTGAACAGCCTTTGCTTAGCCATAGCACTGGCTCTTTTGGTGGCTCTGCTTTCCTGCACTGTAGGTCTCTCCGAGGTGCGGCTTAGAACCTGGGTGGGTAGAATTGTGGTAGGAGGAGAGGGTTGGATCTCCGAGAGGGTGGAGAGGGAGGCCAGGGGAAAGGTAAATGGTTGGAGGACAGTTTTCATTGTTGGGAGGTGGCTGATTTAGTCTTGTCCAAAAATTCTCCCCACAGAAAAGAAACGGCGGTGATGCAGGAGAAATTGTTGAGGTGGGAGGGAGGGAGGGAGGAGTGATTAATGTTGGGGTAGGGCACCTTTCATTCCTCTGCTGTTTAAGAAAAAAGTATGTTCCTGGAGAAGAGGCAAGAATTTGGTGATAGCAGAGCATACAAAGAAAGAGGCAGCCAAATAAATGGGTTGGATTTCCTGCCCCAGTGCTTCCTGCCGCTGCATGGAACCTTCAGAAATACCATGCAAAGGAGGCTCACCACCGTCCTGTTGGTCCCTCTTCTCTGGAGAAGGTGTGTCTCTGCTGGCTAAGGCTCCTCATCTTGCCTCACTCCACCACAGCCTGCAGGCCCATCCAGGACTGAGGGCCTGAGGGTGCCCAGAGTTTAGAAGGCAAAGAACTCCTTGCTACTCCACAGTATCATCTCAACACCTCAGCTAGGAAGAGTCAAGGAGCCTGGGCACACACTCACCATGCTGAACAGGAAGTGAGCACCCACTTTTCCATCCTTCTGTGATTCCTGTTGGACTATCTGATGTGTGAATTTTACCTGTCTTGTGGCCTTTGCTCCAGATCTAGGTGGGATCAGATGGAATGGAGGTTCCACCTGGTCTTCAGGAGGTCCCAAGTTTTCACTGGTCTACATCCAATCTTAGAGCAAGGTAATTTGGTTTAAGCGAGCCTAAACTTAATGCCTTCTCCATGGGCCCTGGTACAGATACTGGTACTGGCCAAGGGTTGGGTCCAAAGCCACCCCACTCATGAGAGGCACTTTTTGTCTGCCCTTGGGGTCTTAAAACTTCTAATGAATACCAAAGGAGAGCAGGTACTTTTATACCCCCAGTTCATCATCTTCAGTATCTGTGATTTGCAAACTTCCTGCTTCTATTCGATTGAATGCTTTATTGAAACTATTAATATTATATATGAAGTGCATTATAGAGAATACATTTTTTTTTTTTTTTTGAGACAGCGTCTCGTTTTGTTGCCCGGGCTAGAGTGAGGGCCTTGGCGTCAGCCTAGCTCACAGCAACCTCACACTCCTGGGCTCAAGCCATCCTTCTGCCTCAGCCTCCCGAGTAGCTGGGACTATAGGCATGTGCCACCACACTCGCCTAATTTTTTCTATATATATGTATATTTTTAGTTGTCCAGCTAATTTCTTTCTATTTTTTAGTAGAGACGGGGTCTTGCTCTTGCTCAGGCTGGTCTCGAACTACTGACCTTGAGCGATCCACCCGCCTCAGCCTCCCAGAGTGCTAGGATTACAGGCGCGAGCCACCGTGCCCGGCCTAGAGAATACATTTTTAATGACTGGGGTTGGAGTGAGAGGTCTGGAACCCTATCTGCTGGCTTTTCCTCTCATCTGTTGGGGTGACCAATAATACTGTTACAGATAAACAATGAAGGGGATAAAAGTGAATTGGGGATAGAAAAAAATAGGGAAAGCTTTGGGGGTGCAAGGAACAGTCATCCAGCTAGACTGTAGGACTTCTGGAATCTAAAGGAAAACCAGCCACCTGTAAGGGAAGCTCAAGGGAGGCGGAGCCAGAGAGCCAGGGAGCACCTCCTGGCCTGGGGGTGGAGAGAATGGTGAGGAAGCAGAGGGCACGGGCTGTGCCGAATGCTCCTCGGTGCCAGCACCGGCCTCACACGTGCTGACGAACCACCATGCAACGCCACCACCAATCCACTCCAGGGCTGGCGTCTCCCCTTCCTGGAGCATGGTGCCCGGGGCACGAGCAGCGTATGGGGACACGACAGGGCTGGTGAAGCAGGCGTGGGGAAACTCAGAGTGCTCTGCACTCAGCTGATCGGCCCTTCCCTCCCTGGTCATCAGTTCTCAAAACCTCCGAAAAATGTCTCTTCTGGGCCCCTGTTCTCTAGGTGAAAGTGGCAGACTGAATGGCAACTCCCTTCCTGACTCTGAACTCCAGTCAGGCTGGACCTTCGATCAGGTGTGAGTGCTAGAGGCTGCTCCCTGGAGCTCAGGGAGTGGGTAGGTGAAGCCTCCATTTCCTTAGCTGGAATTCTGTAGTTTTCTGCCCTCTTTTCAGAAAGGAGGGAAGAGAAGGATTAGGGCCTTCCTATACAGGGAGCTCTTAGAGATCTAGCTCATAAAGGTTGAACAAAGAGTTGGATTCATTTGGAGATCTGCAGCAGGAAAGAGGGTTTTAAAATGCATGACTGTAACTCCTAGGGCCTCCAACTAAGAAGGCACAGCTGGAGAAAGAGCAGGTGTGGCCCGTCTCTCCCAAGAGAAGACCTGGCTCTCATCACTCAAACGCATGTTCACGTCTCTGATACA